ACGAATAGAAAGGCAAACACTGACTACAATGTGCAAACGCAAACACAACTACACAAACAAGACACACACACCGACACTCTCGCATGCACGCACGCACACACACACGCACACACTTTCACATACACACACACACACACACACACACACACACACACACACACACACACACACACACACACACACACACACAAACACACACAATCCTGCGTGCTATTTGATCCCAGCTTCTGTCTCATAACACCTCTGCGGGAGCGAGTAACTAGCACGTGCGTGCATGCATGCCCCACCACTCACTCACTCACTCACTCACGTCAACAACTCTCAGCGACACCGCCGCGCCGCACGCGCATACACAGATCTGCTCGTTGACGTTTTGACTTCTCCTCACAATTCAACAAATTCTGCTTGTCTCATTCCAGAACTGCCCACATTTCATCCGAGGTGACCAATCTGCGTTGATGACACTATGAAAGCAATTCAAAAGCAGTTAGAAAAGAAAAGTGAAATTACTTTCAAAGAGATTTCAGAGTGGCATAATGTCTGATTTACTTCAAAGTGAATTTACGAACAAGTGTAAAGATAATTTAATTGAGTTGTTTCCATAAGATCCCCAGACATCGAAAAAGGCCAGGAGCAATATTTGACACAGATTCTATTCCACCAAGTTCTTCTACTGAAGTGTGCTGATTCTCTAAGGAGGTTGATTCGTGAGAAACGTTTGATACATTTGTATTCATTTGAGACATTTAAGAAGCTCCAAGAAAAGGATTCAGTGAACGCCACGTGTGATTTTCATCTGTGATATTCGGCATTGCTTTCGGTTTGAGTTTGTAAACACATCATATTAGGTAAGGAAATGTCCCAAAAGATTTTGCTTCTTGCGTTGTAATTATTTTTCTTCTTTGCCTTTATTATTACATTATAACTTGGCCTCTCCCATTCCCTTTATATGAGCGTCACATGATCAATATTATGACTTGAGCCTTAATTCAAACTAAAACGAACTGAAAGAAAAGGCAGTGTATTGTCTAAAAACTGAAACATTCCCCCTTAACATTACCCTCCCCCTAAAAGAAAACGAAAAGAAAACACAAA